TGGTTTTCGGGGTCCCCGCTCCTCTAGCGGACCCGAAACCACGGAACATGAGCTCACCATAGAGCAGACGAAAAACTGAGGTTTTTCGTCTGCTCTGTGTTATCACTGAGACAGGGTGCGCTGTGATGCCCTGCTGCCCCCGCCATCTGCATGCAAATAAACGCACGCATAGGACATTGTGTGTGCGTTGAGTGCTGCCGCCATTTCACTGTGCTGTATTGTGGTAGCGAGGCAGCAGAACTCTCCCACACACACACAATGTGCATTAAAGGGCAAGTTCACTTTCCCAGGTAATATGGGAAAATGGAATTACCCGATCAAATCTGGCCCCCGTCTCTCCCAAAACCCCCCACCCCCCGGCTATACTTACCTTTCGGCAAACAGTCCTTACCCTCCGCCGGTACAGGTGTACTGTCCTTACCCCGTACTGTCCAGCGCAGTCTTGCCCTATGCATTTCGATTTCGCTCGCAAATTGCAAGCACTCATTGGTCAGCGTGGTCTGGTGACCACGCTGACCAATGAGAAGCGCTGTTTAGCACAGACCAATACAGTTTTGATTAGGGATGCACACATAGAGTATTTGGGCAAGTACATCGGCACACAGTCCTTACCCTCCGCCGGTACAGGTGTACTGTCCTTACCCCGTACTGTCCAGCGCAGTCTTGCCCTATGCATTTCGATTTCGCTCGCAAATTGCAAGCACTCATTGGTCAGCGTGGTCTGGTGACCACGCTGACCAATGAGAAGCGCTGTTTAGCACAGACCAATACAGTTTTGATTAGGGATGCACACATAGAGTATTTGGGCAAGTACTTGTACTCGCCCAAATGCTCGATACCTTCTCCAATAACGGAACTTCTGGTCAGAGGAAGGTTTCCTCTGACCGGCAGTGCCGTAGGGGGAAAATGGAGCCAGCTTCCCGTGCAATCAGGAAGCGGGGCAGCGACTAATAACCCGCCTCCCAGTTTCCTGATTGGCCAGGAAGCCAGCTCCTTGCGGATTGGCTGCCAAGCC